AACCCCATTGTGACCATCTCGAGATCGAGCAATATGTATGGATCCATTGCAACCATGTGTGCGAAAATCCTTTTAGATACTCTTTATAATACATACAGTCCGAAAACTATTTCAATTTGAGAATTGCAACATGTAAAAACAAGTAAAAAAATAATTACGATAACATATCTAATATTCTCTACAGGTACGTAACGAACTTTAATAAATAAATAGTACCTGGAGGACCGAGCTTTGCTCGGTTTGGTTTTTTTTTTTTTGGTAAATCATGTATTTTGGAAATTACATTTAGATACAAATTACTGGGTAATGAAATATGCATAATATATTTCGATCTTACCGACGTAATAATAAGAAAATATGAACTGGTGTTTTTCACAAAAGAAAGAACTTTAAAAAAAAGAGAAAAAAATAACAAAATAACAAATCGACAAAAAATAAAAAATAACGAAAACAATGACTTTATCCAAAAAAAGTAAAAAAATAAGTGTGTAAATGATCGTGATACGAACCGCGGCCGTCTGTTTTGGGGCCGCCCGATTACCGACCGAGCTACTATAACTTTTTTTTCGCGGCGAAATTTATCTTTATATTCATTCCCTGAAAACAGGGATAAAAGGACATTTTCTAAAAATGAAACCTAGCTAGATCGCTTTTTCGCCCCCCGAATCTACGCACATACTAAATTTAATAAATATATATATATATACAAGAATTGCTCGTTTAAAGGATAAAGATTTCTTTATGCAAAAAAAAAAGTTCAAAGATCATCTTAATACCTTAATCAACTTAATCATCATTACCTACCAATCAATCTTTGTGTGGTTTAGTAGGTGCAAATTTTATTCATTGAGAATAATTCTTCGGCGTATTTGAATCGAGCCTACATCTTTATTCAATACGAATTTGGCGACTCAAGCTTAAAAACTGAAACGTTACCTCACGATTTGAGGTCGTAGATTCTAATCCTGGTTGCGTGAAAGCCTTTCCCTGTTTCTATCATACGTTAAGAAACAGCCATCTCACATTTATCTCGAGTCGGATAACAGGCTCGCCTCCAGTTGCGAACTAAAGTTACATTGTTGAAATGCCAATTTCCAAAAAGGTTGTCAACCCATCTGCAAACCCTCGGGTATAGCAGATGTTCTTGGGCGGCGGTATTCACTTAACATCAGGTGATCCGTCTGCTCGTTTGGCAAGTTTTCACATAAAAAAAGAAATGTGAATAGGTTTGTCTACTCTGTAACGAATAAAATACATTGAACACTCAACAAGCTCGTTTCTTTGTCCTCGTCCTCAGCAAAACGTCAATCCTATAAGGATCTCGAGGCATAAAAGAACTGACCGATCGTATATGATAAGTATATATATAGGGCGTGTCTCTGTAAACTGGGCAACTCATTGTCCCAGGCTAATTTTGTATAAAAATGTAGAAGATCCTAAATATTTCGTTGATAATTCCAAAAATCAATACCTTAATCTACCGCTGCTCAACATTAAAAATCCATTAAAATAAACTTTATTATATTAAAAACAATTTTATAGTTCTTAAAAACAGTCCCCTGGCATGTCACCAAAGCAGTATAGTTACTGAAGACCAAAATAATACAGGCAGTATCTATTGGAATTAATCGTATTGTTGTATTATTAGATCAATATTGTTTGATTGTTAATGAGACCTATTTATTTTACATAAATATTATTTTAGAATTAAAAAAAAGTCAGTGAAACTTTGTCTTCGCATTTAGTGAACAGTCCCCTTGTCTATATTTTAAATTACGTGTCACGTAGCCGATAGGTTAAACAACGTCTTTTACGCATGTAACGAAACGCAAAAAGTCTGAAGATTGCGCGGTTGCCGCCAGGACGATCCGGACGTCATCTTATTTAGTGATATGTGATCGTCCTTCTGTGGAAGCCGTGTTGTAACCTGACAGCCAACAGTCCTCTGGTAAGGATTATTTTACTTCTATTTATGTATTATGATGATTCCTTCCAACATTTAAATTCTTACAATATATAAATATTTGCTATGTGCAGCAAAATAGCATAGCTCAATTACATTTTGTACTACTCATCAATGAAATCAAATTAAACAGTTCCCTGGCAACAGTCCCCCGTCTCTATACAGGACAGGGGACTGTTTCCACATCCAGGGGACTGTCTAACTAAATTATAACTGTTATTGTTTTAGAATTGTTTTGAGAATGGCGCCAAAAAAAACCACTAAAGGAGAGATTCTAGAAGCAGAACGAAAGAGATATGATTAAATTACCCTCATAAAAGATTACCCTCATAAAAGATTTAAAAAATTACCCTCATAAAAGACAAGAACTTAGAGAAAAAGAACGAATGTACAAACCTTAATAGAAAAGGTACAGGAAAGCTCGTTGAGAATATGACTCCACAAAAACATCGAGATGCCAAGAAAAAGTGGAAAGAGCATTGCACCAAGTATAGCAATAAGAAAAAAGTATTAGCAAAAACTAAAGTAGTACTAACTCATTTATTAAAGAAAATATTAAAGAAAAGCAACTTCATCAGAATCTGGAGTATTTTCTATCTATTTTGTCAGAACTTAATACAAAATATGTGTAAACTGATTCAGAAACTGAGAAAGAGGCTGGACCTAGTTCTGCTGTAGTACAGGCAGTCAAAACTGGAGATAATATTGTTGACAAGTCAAAAGTTAATGTAACAGATGTGTACAATGATTCAGAATTTGAGAATGAGGCTGGACCTAGTTCTGCTATAGTACAAGCATTTAAAACTGGAGATTATATTGTTGTGAAATTGCTTGGCAAAACAAATATTGAATAATGAACAAATATGTGAGCGTAATTGACAAGATTGATGAAGATGGCGAAATCCGGGTTACATTCTTAAAACTCTGTTATGATAAAGTTCAATTATTAAGACACGATGATGATGATGTGGCAGACATTACAAGGGACTAAGTAGTCCAGAATGTTCTACAAGTTTGATTCATCTGTAGATATTTTCGACAAAAAATAAGATTAAATATAGAAAAATAGGTAAAAGAAAATAGTATTTTTTTCTATATTTTAGAAATAACAAATTTTATTTTTCGAGGCCGATTCTATAGTGTAAATTTAAAGTACTAAAAGTCCTTTCAATTGTGATTTTAACTAATAATAAGTAAATATTAAGATTACAATGTTAAGTACGATATTACATAAAGTAAATTAAATAATAGTTGATTTTTTAATTTTTTATTGTTCAGTTACTTAATTGTTAAGCTCCAAAGTTTATAATAATATAAAAAACATTTAATTTCTGTACTAAAATTGTATTTTTTATTTAATTTCACAGTCCCCTGGCTTCGGCAACAGTCCCCTGTACATGTTTTTCAGAAAATGTTTGATATTTTCTAAAGTATTCGGAATATTTGTGGTTCATCTGCCGTATATTAATAAATAGACGGATACTTGTTCCCTAAATAAAATTTATTATATTATGAGCAAAAAAGTTGCCTAGACAGTTTTCTTAAAAAAGTTGCCCAGTTTACAGAGAAACGCCCATATATATATATATATATATGTGTGTGTGTACATATTTTTACATCTGATCAAATTTTTAAAGTGCTCGTGCCACATATATACCTATAAGATGTGAGTTAAATCTTACAATATCGAAACATAAGAATTGGAGTAAATTCTCTTCTCAGAAAAAGCCTGCCCGACAGGAAAATATCCACTTGAATCAATGTCTATTACAAGTTATATTCTATTACAAGTTCTTTTTTGCTCATAATGTCTATTACAAGTTCTTTTTTGCTCATAATATAAAATTTATTATATTATGAGCAAAAAAGTTGCCTAGACAGTTTTCTTAAAAAAGTTGCCCAGTTTACAGAGAAACGCCCATATATATATATATATATGTGTACATATTTTTACATCTGATCAAATTTTTAAAGTGCTCGTGCCACATATATACCTATAAGATGTGAGTTAAATCTTACAATATCGAAACATAAGAATTGGAGTAAATTCTCTTCTCAGAAAAAGCCTGCCCGACAGGAAAATATCCACTTGAATCAATGTCTATTACAAGTTATATTCGCCGACGTCACACAGCATCTATTTCTGGAGACGAGGATTTTAACGACTTCATTAATATAATGACGCTATGCAACACTGATATAACATAAATAATTTAATTACATTGTATGTGAATTGCGTCCAGGCAGTCTGCATTTCTATTAATTAATTACCCGACATTTAACGTGATTTAAACGTCTAATAGGATTCCATAATAATTAGAGCTGTAAATCATCCACAGAGAACGCAACATAATGATAGAAAAAGTTCCCCACCAATGATATAGCATATAATTATAAATATTATTCATAATTATATTATTTTATCCGGGACAGCTGAAAGTTATTTAGAAGTTAGCCTTGGACTTGAATTCAACAACATCTTTAAAAAACCGGGTCAAGTGCGAATTGGACTAGCTCACGAAGGGTTCCGTAGCATTATTTAAAAAAACGGCAATCATACATGTATATGCTACTGCATGAGAGCCCCACTTAAATATTTTTTATTCTGTTTTTTAGTATTTATTGTTATAGCGGCTACAGAATTACATCATCAGTGAAATTTTCAACTGTCTAACTATCACGGCTCATGAGATACAGCCTGGCGACAGACGGACAGACAGACAGAAAGACAGCGGAATCTCAGTAATAGGGTCCCGTTTTACCCTTTGGGTACGAAACCTTAATATAATAATACTTAAAGTGTAAACACTTCTAGTACAGTTTATACTTTAAGTAAAAAAGACTGCCGTGGTTTTCTAAAATTGGATATAAGTTTCGTTCTTGTTTGTATTTCCCTTTAATGGAGGGCAATAAATTATTATCCACTCATTCATTAATTTATTGAAACCTCCAACTTTGAACGTTGTATGTAATCGCAGTAAACTCCTAATAAAGCTTGGGTTTACATTAAAAGCCCTGTGAGTATTAAAAAAAGTCAGCTTAACTGGACTGCGCAGTGCTCTTCGCGCAGTACAGAGTATATGCCATCGCTCCCACGACTAGTAACGCAGCTAGGTGTAACCTAGAAACAAACACACATGCAAACACTGGACGCCGGCGCACCGCCACTGACCCACATCTCAGATGAGTCACTTTCCTAAGGGTTCTGTTTGAAATACACACGCTCAGAGATGTATTTGGGAGCTTGAAAAGAATTGAAAATCTATGCAATCTATTAGCGTAACACGTATGCTTAAGATGTGGAATTTAAATGCAATTTCCTTCCCTCTTTTTCTCTTTAAATATATCACATAAATATTTGACATAAGCACTTCGGGTAATGCTGTTCTTAGCATACCGAGGTGAGCCCCGAAATGAAAGTGTTAATAGTCAACAGTTCTTTCTTAAAAAGAATATAATTTTTTTTGTTATTGATTGTTTTTTGGGCCAGGGAACTTGGTGGGCCGTCATCACGATCAGATGAATGGCTAAGATGGCGGAAAGGAAGAACATACTAACATTTATTTTTAGTTATAATAATATTATGGATATGATTTCAGTTAATTAAAAAAAAAGTAGGTCATGTAATTGTACATATTATAAATGCGAATGTAAGTTTGTTTATTGCGCTTTGACGCCAAAACTACTCAACCGATTATAATGGAACTTTGTACACATATTCTTAAAAGAATCAAAAAGAACATAAGATTATTTTTATTAAAATATAGAATAGAATATATGTTTTAAATAAAGATTTATTTATGAGCTTCAACGCGAGCGACACCACGGGTAAAAGCTAGCATTATATTTTGTCATCAGTTTGTAACGAAAATAGAACACAAACAAAAACAACTTATGAAAAACGCTGCAATTCGCTCAAAATTAATATAATACTCATCAAATCCTAATTATTCAAAATGCTGTGCTTTAATAGAATTTATAATAACAAATATGAATTTGGCAAGACGTTACTGAATCTATTCCACTCATGTCTTGAGAATACTCGTATTGTACTTGAGCAAGAAACTTCATGCTGGCAAACTCACGTCAAACTTCTGCATAACGCGATATCATTCCCTAGATTTTATTTACCATATGTCAGAAGTCCAACTTTCCGACAACTGCTATAATGAATGCCTCCAGAATACGGGCCACATATATCGAAATTTTCACGAATATGGAGGCAGCTGAGCTTAATTTAAGGCGTGTCTCCATATAATTAATTAAAATCAGAGTTAAATTATAAATGCTGGTCAGAAGTAGCAATTAGTGAAGTTTTGACCTTTCAACGCACGATGACTACACGACGATAACCAATGATATGTTTACTGAACTGTCAAAAGTTTTGCATTTTTGAGAATTTATTCCGGCCTTTATAATCCTTATTTGAGATTGGAGCAATATAGGATAAATAAATAAACTAAAAAATTAATAAAATTTCAATTTAAAAGAATTCGGGCCCGGTAAAATAGTAATTGACTATTTCAAGGTAATAACCACTCATAGATATCCGTACCTGCAACACGAAACTGAAGTATGCCAACTTAGAAGAGAGGCCAAAGTATAAGTACTTCTACTTAATTTCAGATATGGTCAGCAAAAGCTAGCTTTGGTCTAGTGCGATAGATATGCTCTTAGTTATATGCTAAGGGATCGTTGCATTGCAGTGTAGCCAAATTCAATCCTAAAATTACATAATTTTTTTTATGTAAGTGGGGAAGGGAAAGTAATAAGCTGGCGAGTAGATTTAGCTCAGCAGCCTTCACACTAAAAAAAAAATAAGATTGCTGCCTGATGTAGATACGGCTCGTTTGGTATATTTTAGTTATTTCCACAGTATTATATATAGTTTGAAAAAAAAAGAAAAAAAAAATAATGTCTTATCGCATTCGCTAGTTTAAGGAAACGCAGCCGCTATAAATCCGAAAGAGAGCTATTTGAGCAGTTTATAACCTGGGCCCCAAAGAATCACTAAGCAAAAGAGATTAAAATATTGACCGTTGCTTCTCAGTACATGTCCATAAAAACAAAAATGTCAAAAATTTTCAAGACATGCGAATGAGCACTAGGAACAAACATAAATTAATTCTACCCACAACCAAACTGCGTAGAATAAGTAATTCTTTTATGGGAAAATGTACCTATAAGTTTTTACAACGAAATCCCAGAAAACTTTCACAATGTTTCAATTTTTAAATTCGTATGGTAAAAGCTATTATAATGTTTGTGATCATTTAAATGATAAAGTCGTCGGTGTGGTAATCAGCCGTTTAGCTCAGTGGCTAGAGCGTCAGGCCGCGAATGCCGAAGACGTGGGTTCGATTCCCACAGCGGCGACAATCTTTTCGCACTTTTTCTACATATTTTAATATCAAGATCTAATTATGAAGAGTTTTTCAAGATTTAAGAATATTTAAGATTTTTTTACGACTAATTATATTGATTGATAATTTATCTCTAAAAGAAATAGTGATAATCTGCCCAGCAGACAGAAAGACTGAGGGCCGCCAAGTATTATAATATCTGTATATGTATTGCACTATTTCTGTTAACCAACTTTTTTATCTAAACCGTTGATAGGATTCATCACTTGTATAAAAATTAGATACTACAGAAATCTGTTCAATCATAAATTGTGACATTTATATTACTAGCCTAAATAAGTAGCGCCTGGAGGACCGGAGGAGGTTTTTTTTTTTTGATAAATCATGTATTTTGGAAATAAAAAAAATAAAAAATAAAGAAAATTATCTGGTATAGAAAAAAAAAGTAAAAAAAATTAAAATTGTGTAAATGATCGTGATACGAACCGCGGCCGTCTGTTTCGGGGCCGCCCGACTACCGACCGAGCTATTATAACATTTTTTTTTGCGGCAAAATTTACTGTCATACTCGAATGATATTTTTCATTCCCTGAAAACAGGGATAAAAGGACATTTTCTAAAAATGAATCGATCTAGCTTTTTAGAAAATGAATCTAGCTAGATCGATTTTTCGCCCCCGAATCTACGCACATACTAAAGTTCATGAAAATCGCTGGAGCCGTTTCCGTGATTCCGATTATGTATATAAATATATATATCAGATTATATATATATATATATAAATATACAAGAATTGCTCGTTTAAAGAATAAGAAATAATAAAATTACAGATCTAATTTTGAATCTAAGCTGCCATTTGTTCGGAGCTACTTTTTAGCTAACGTAGGTCCATGAAGAGCCATCCGAATCTAAATAAAGAACTACTGTACATCGTTTCTTGACCTAATGAATCATCGATCCGATTCGAATAGACGGATTTATTGAGTGCAGATTAAAACAAAATATTGGTGGGTGAAGACAGAAAGAAGGGAAGATAGTCCTTTGTTCCTAAATCGGCTATTTTAATCAAAATCATTTTTTATCAGATACACACCGCCGAACTAATGCGAGCAACGTCATCCATGTAATTTCAATATTTTAATTTCATTTATTTATTCTACTAATATTATTTTTGTGTGACAGACGGTTCACCTGATGTTAAGTGAATACCGCCGCCCATGGACATCTACTACACCCGATGGGTTCCAGATGCGTTAACAACCTTTTAAAAATTAGGCTCCGGCCACCCCACTCACCAGAAGAAAAGTATTATACTTCCACTATAAGCTGGTCTTCTGTGAGGTCGCGGTACTTACCCGGACGAGCCTGCCCATTCGTGCAACAGCCGAGGCTGCTGCGTGGCCCAATCACAGTCAAATAAATATATTAATATATTAAAGACCTTCTGTGCCTTTGATAACAATATTGTGGATGTGCATAGTATATAAGTACAGTGATATAATAGATTCATTGCTTTTCTACGCATAACAATAATTTTCCCATAATCTTAGTTTATAAAGATTATCAACTAATTCCACAATCAGATAAACAGTTTATAAATATTGCTGCGTTTATACGTTTCATCCTAAGATATTTCAAAATTAAAATGAGGCATGCATTTTGAGTGAAACGTGAGAACGACATCGTCCGCGGTATTAGGTCTTCAACAATCTTCTAAATTTGTACTTATCATGAACATGTAAGTACTGCGGCTGAGGTGTATTAATAAACCCAATCGCCCTTAAGATTTTTAATGATTCCGAAACAGCTGTGCCGTGATTCATGTGACATTGGCCCGAGAGACGCCGCTGTATACGAATAATGTATTTAAACGCAACACGACCGTGAACATTATCGCGGCTTAAGAAGAACCAGAAAAAGTGATTCGTACGCGACGCGAAGGCTAGCCGGTCGACGTGCAAAAAAATCATAGGGAATAAACAGTGATCAAACGTAACGCGAATAGCGCAAAACATGTTTTGTATCAGTTCTATTTTCCACTAGAGCTAACATCATAACATCCTCAGTTTCGCAACATTGATGCGAACGGAAAAGGAAACGGATTGGGACTGGGCAATCGGCAGGAACACAAGAGTAGTACATTTCTTAGCTAATCTCTATGCATCTCAATCGCACTGACGGTTGCCACGGAAAGCGTTTTAATGGTTGGGTTCCCACACATCTCTGTCTTTTTCCATTGAGCCAGGGCAACCTTTGAAAACTGTTCCTATATTATTCCACACATAAAAAACAAAGCTAGTTAAAGTTATAATTGGAATCGTACTCACGTTGTGCTGATGCAGCGTCAATATTACGTTGTCGAAGGCGGACGAGTTGGAAAGCGCCTCGGAACTGCCGCGCAGCAACTCGGCTAGCAGGTCGGCGCCGGGCTTTACGCCGGCTAGTTTCGAAGGCGACGATGTCGCTCTCACGTGCGTCGGCCCACGAGGCCTGGCGCCCGATGTAGGAGCGGCCCCGGCGCTGATCTTGCGACAGGGTACAGTTGCGTCCGAGAAACTCCTCCTGCCCGACTCCACCGAGCGGCACGGCGCCTCCAGGTTGCGGCCGAACGGGCCTCTCGCCGCCTGGTGTCGTTTCGCTTCCACGTCAGACGTGTCGGATGGTGTAAACGGGGATGGCGATGCGGTGCGGTCCCGCGAGCACGTGTCGCTCTCCGCTTCCGAGGGGGAGTCCCCGCGCGACGTGACACCGTACTTCCGTCTCACCCTGTATGTTTCCTCCTCCCTCTCGTCGGAGCTCTGTTGGGAGAACCTGGCGCGTCTCGCTCGTAGCTCTTCCGAACGCGGCCAAATGGGTGTGGCGCTTTCAGCGGGGCTTGGCGGCCCGTTGGTGCACGAGTCGTCCGATTTGTCGCCGAGTAGTGAAGAGGTCCGGGCTTCAGCAGAGAGGCGCATTTCTTGCAGGGAGACGTCACTGCTTTCACGTTTGCAGCCATTCATCGTGGAAGGTGGGTCTTCCTCTCCACCGTCGTCGCTGGCGGTCGTTATGTAAATCCCTTTCCGCCTCTTAGTCTTGTCTAATGGCCGACGTCGCTCTCTGGCACCGATGGGAGCCGGCGTGCACGGGTTTTGCACGGCCGCCAACAAATTCGCCACTTGCTCGCGCGTGATTGTCTCGTCCTCCTTGTCCCGGTCCAACGAGCCGTCGGACGCCGCGTCCGAGCGCTGTGCCTCCTCTGTCGGTAACTCTTTCGACCACTGTTTCACTATACACTCATACACGGGCACCGGTATTGAACTCGCGATCGCACTCGCAGTCTCTTCGCCGGTTGCAGGAAATTTACCACAGTCACAGTCTACATTTGCGCAGACGTTCGGGGGAGGAGCGGGTAGAGGTGGGAAAGCGAAGGGCTGAGCAGGTTCCATAGGTGAGGTACCTTCACTGTGCGCCTGCGCACTGTCGGCTTGTGAACCGTCACTCTCTTCACGCAGTTCGTGCAACACACGCGGAGCTAAGGCAGGCAGACTACCGCCTGACTCGGCCGGGCCCTCCTCCCGCACAGGGGGCACGCGACGCGGCAAAGGATGCGTTAATGAACGAGCCCCAAACTGTTTATTTCCTGGTGGTGGAGACCTTGGAGCCGGGGACGCGTGCGCCAGCAAGCCCTCATCAGAGCCGACGGCGGAGTCGACGGAAGCGACTGACCCCCCCTCTGTCACATTCTCTTCTGTAGCCGAACTCCCAGCATCAGCACTGCTCCGCTCTTCCGCCTGCCGAGACTCCGCCTTAGCAGGCGTCTTCCCAAAGTCGAATATCGACTGCTGCCGATCGGCACTACGGTAGTACTTGCCCTGCGCGAAGTCGCCCTGCGAGAACGAAGCGCTACGGTACGGTATCGTCTTTTGCGCGTACGACCCGACGATAGAGCGGGGCTCGACACGCACTAGGGTGATGCTGTCCGCGTCGAACTCGTCGCAGCGGTCGACGGAGGCGCCGCGCGGGGGGCTGTGGCGGTGGCGGGCGCGTGGCGGCGGCACCGGCGGCAGCACGGGCGCTGAGTGGGGCGGCGGCGGCGGGGGCGGCGGTTGGGCGCGTGGCAGCAGCCGCTTGGTGAGGTCCTGCAGCCGCTGGTGGCGGGTGGGCCGCTCGTCGCGCGCGCCGCGGCCCAGGCGCCGCTGGAAGCGCTCCAGCGTGCGTCGCTCGGGCTTCGCGCGGCCGAGGCACGCCGCCAGCGCGTCGTCGCAGCAGCGGCAGGGGCAGCCGCGCGGCGGCGGCACGCGGCGCACGCTGTACCGCACCGCGCCCAGCGTCACGTACGGCGACCTGCGCGAGCGGCTGCGTTGGCACGGGGACGCCGCGGCGCGCTCGGGCGGCGAGTGCGACCGATTTAGAGCCGGCGCCCGAGCGGCCGTCCGGCCCCGCGAGGGTTCCCCCGCGGCCCACTCCGCCCTGATGCTATATCGCCGCTGTCATTTCGGTAAGCCGCCGCACGCGATACGACCGAGTTTTCGGAGAGCAACATTTTTTTAAAGATCGGATCATCATCGGTCTTAATGCCCATTTATACATTCCGAACTCAAAACGGAAAAGTTTTACGCATTGGCCTTTTTGAAATGACAGTGACGATATGCGGATGGACGGACGTGTATCGACATGATAGGCGAGGGGCTGTTCGATAAGAATTATGCGTGAGTCCCCGGTCGAATGGCGGAGTCTGTGATGGTGTATTTTCGTTCAAGTGCATGATTGCGCGGGCATGACAGGTGGCAGACAGACAGACGGAAGACGCGCCGCTTATAAATAGGCGAACGTTGACGATTTGGCGAAACGGCGGCCTCGCAGCAATGTTTACATGTCGTGTCCCGTTGCAGGGAACAAAGTCTCCTTTGATGCCCGTTCCATGAACTATCCGCGATAAGGACACTTACATTGTTGTCGTTCGACTAGTGCAGTAATGTGACAGACCTTTTTAACCGGAATTAAAATTATCTGTACTCACATTTGTAATCAAAATCTTATAATAGCATTCGCAACCAGAATATTCAAAACTATTTGATAATATCTGATCAAAATTATTATATACGAACGCTAAAGTAATGAAATATATTTCATATGAATATAATGTGTAACAGTTAGAGTAAGGAACAACAACATCGGCGCGGGAGTTGAACCCTCGGTACATTCAAATTTATTAAAAAAAAATATCACGAACGTTTTTAATGTATGGTCTAAAAAGTGCTTTTAAGAAGCTTATAAAGATAACCAAATAACTAATTAACCTATTTAAATAACTGAAGCTTTCAACTTTCAACGCGACGACGTACTAACTTGTTGAATTTTTAGTGCAATTAAATATAGTTATAGCGCTGGCTTTCACATTTAGGCGACAAGCTTTGCTAATTTTCATATATTGTCATCATCATCATCATCAACATTTCAGCCTGTAGAGTCCACTCCTGGACATAGACCTTCCCCATAGACTGCCATGAAACGCAATCATAAGCCACCTGCATCCATCAACTAATTAATTAACTAATAAAAACTAATTTTAATTAACTACGTTTCGAACCCTTTCCTACGTTCAAAGTCTGTGCACCATGAACGATGGAAAGGGTTCGTAACGCTGGGAGCTAAAAATCTAAATTAAAACGCGATAAAATCCGTAAACTAATTTCATTTGATATCAAAGGGTTATCTTATCTACGAAAAATAAATGAATAAATTGGCAGCTAAATACAGGGGACCTGGTGACGTCGCGCCTTCTTCGCGCGCCATCTTGCGGTGATCGGGGGCGCGCGTTGGTCGCCATTTAGGATCATGTGACGCCGCACATGCTGTGCGCGCCTACACGCGTGTCTGCAAAAAAAAACAAATATTATTATTTAAATTCTATGCAGAATCACTTTTTGATACACAGTAAAATCGATTTGCAAGTTATAATACGTATATATTTTTAAGGGTTTTTCTTTTATTTTTAGTCTCTGCACTCATGATGAAACTTTAAATTGTAAATTTTTGTTAAAACTATAAAATAAACAAAAACTTTCGCCGCTAAAACTTGCGGGATTCGAAACTGCGTCTTGGCAAGACAGAAGACGTAGTAGGTTTGTATCCAGAAGCGCCAAAAGTATTTGTTGCCTAAGCGACTATAAATGAATATTCAATGTTTCTGTCTTTTATTTAATGTCTTTATTATCATTGCTACTATTGAGGTAAGAAACATATAAATTTCAAGCAGAGACATCTGACTATCGGAAGTGAAATCAAAGGATGATCCTTCTCAAAGGCCCGACTAGTATCCATACTATTGTGTGAACTTAAGGCGGGCAGCTTTGGGCGGGCGGATTGTTCGAGTTAATTCGGAGCTTCGACGATAGATGTCATTGTAATCATACCAAACCATTCAATGTGTAAACAACAATAATATAATTTAAAATTGAGATTAAACTAAAATTTAAACTGAAATCCCGAAGAAATGTATGGTTTTATTATACAATAAAAAGGAGACAACATCGTCTTGTAACGATGACCGAAATTCAATTAAATTTTTTTTTTAAAAATCCGAATATTTTTCGAGGAGTTGAATTTTTTTTCTTTTTATGTAAAAGTTGTCTAGCGAATAAGTGGTTCACCTGATGTATAGTGCTCACCGCCGCCCATAGGCATCAACAACACCAGCTAAGGTGCAGATATGTACGTTGCCAACCTTTAAATACGTTATGTAATATTGTTCACAAACAGAAATAGTCATGAATAGTGGAAGAGATAGAATGAGAGCTCGATGGCGCAGTTGCTAAGCTATTGACCTCGGCGTTGGGGGTTGTAGATTCGAAAAGTATTTAGATAACCCACAGATAATTGTTCCAGATCTACGTGTTTGTTCCCAAGAAGAGTTGAGGTCAGGCAGGGCATCGGTCGTAAAAATCTAGCCTTACTTGAACAACTAACAACATAATCAAACAGTTAGCCAGCCCTACTTACAATTAGATATTACTGCAATGGAAAAAATAATGAAGCTTTCAGTAAAATATGTTAAAGAAAAATTGTGAGATTGACAAAACAAATAACTGTGGTTCTTCAAATTTAGAAATGTAACCAAAAGTATTAAGAAAATCGAGTCTTAATACAAACAAATTCGAGTACTACCCATGTTCGAAGGGTTTCACACTCAATTGATCGTATTGTCATGATGATTTTCAAAGAGATGAAATTTTACTAAATATATAAGGAGGCACTTTGCATGTCAAGCATAAGCTAACATGTTATTTAAATAACACTAAATTACTGACACAATAACAACTGAATCCTTACAAAGTAAATCGTATCAGAAAGTGTTGACAGTTGTGTTCGTACCTACTTAAAGTAACCCAAATATTTTCTGTAGTGGCATGAATCTGTGGGATGACGCACGTCACGGCGCCACACTTTGTCATGAGCCTTTAAAAGGAATTTCCATTTTAAAACGCCAAGAAGAATCGGCCAAGGACTAAGGAAAACGTTTCAACACATTAAGTATCGAAATTCAACTTCCTTAATACATATCAGTGATAATTGCATTGTTAATGCAATTACTTGAACGCGACGAGATGGCGCCAAGTTGAGGGCGTGGATTTTTATACACGTTTGTTATAAATAAAAACAATAAACGGTACTTACGAATTGCTTATTGTTTGGTCTTTGGTTCGCTTTATTTCTCGAGCAGGAAAATTTACATTTACGAAAATAATCACCAACGGAGGTGTTATTTATAAACACTTTACTGTTATTTTTACTACGCAAATTTTGTTTTTCAATAAAATCCCTTTAAAGTATAAAGCGTGTCTTAAATCGTCGGTGCCCGTATCCAGTTAAACAAATATGTCGTTCAAAATTCTTCTCCACACTTTTTTAATCAATCTCAATGATAAAAAAGTAAATGGCATGACAATGGTACAGACTGCTGTTGTTTTTTTTTTTTTAATTTCTCTGCATGCCATTACCAGTCTCTATATCAGTCTCAGAAGGAATTCTATTCCGTCACGGTGATTTAATTCGGTCAAAAGCATCAGTGTATCTGACATGCCAATGTTAAGCATTTAATAACTTGGCCCTAATTATAGTAATTTCAAAGACAGTAAAGTTTCCTTAAAAATAATTAGAGGTCTCTTAGCACACGACTAGTCGGGGGAGTCATATAGAGTGGGTGGAGTATATCTTGGGAACCATTCAACCACCCCTGGTATATATGATGAAAAATATTATAAATTATTTTGCATATATTTATTTTCCTCGGTGAATTCATATCACCATACATGTAAAAGAGTTTTGACAGTATTTTCAGCAGTTGAACACGCTCTAATTCATGGTTAACTTTACTCAATTTTAATCGATGGTGATCAATTAAATGAAAATAAAAATAATGAAATATGATACAAGTTAAGCGCAGACAAAATACATTTGATAACATTATACGAAATGCTATTATTTCATACTTATAGAAGAATAAAAGCTTATAAATCAGCCAATTTTGTAACGTTAACGACATTGTAATAATTGCAGCCATCCATATTTGTAATTTAATATGATTTGTTCCAACCTTGCGGTAAAACAGCTGCGACAATCCGCGGTTTATGCAAATTTTCTACAAGCTACTTTGTTATTGTTGTAAAAGTTTTAAAAAGCTGCCTAAATGATAGCACATAATATCCAAAATCCCTAATAACTCTTGTAAAAGGTCAGCCCTGGAAAGTGGCTGGTGACATCGATAGTATTTCTAGTACCAACTGTACTCGAAATACTATCGATGTCAGTTGAGCAATGAGAAAATTCATCGACTGCAACCAACACGAATTATTTCTCAGGACACTTCCCGTAATAAACACCATAGACATTGTAAAGGGGTGAGACGGAACGTTTTAGTAGAAGCAATTCCAGTAGGAATAATCAAAATGAAGAAGCCTGTATTACCCAAACGACTTGTTGACGTGCCTGCGCTTGGCAAAGTCACAGAAACTGGACCGACTGGAAATGTTACCCCGTACCCTCATGTTTCATATGAACCTAAATAAGTGGGAGATTCCGGAGAGAAGCTTCCCGTACAAACACTACGAAAACCGGTTTCTCATTTAGATAACATCGCAGCATAGTGGTGTTACTTATCATCAAAGGAAAGGATATCAGGCTTTTGCAAAAATGAAATATTGTTTAATATATACCTTATAGAACTTATAGAAGCTTATAGAACTTTAAGCCTTGAACTTATTAGTATTCGTTAATGTTACTACCTAAACAATTGCATCATGAGAATGTACGCCAGATTGATACATATCAAGCTAGGCTGGCATACAACCTGAGATGAGAGACATGATCACAGGAGCCAGAGGAATCAAGATGGCATAGACAAAAACCTGGTACACTCATCATTCAGATTCTGGCAGAATTAACGGAAGACCTAACACCCAGTTAGGTCTTATGACCTAACAGCAACTCTTTCAACCCATATGCTGTGCCCAATCTTATCGAGAATCGCAATGACCACGGGATATATTTAAAATCCTGGGAAACAAAGTAATCTCCGGTCCACAGACCGCAGATAGCCTTGAAATTAGATGCGGTATTTCGCCCTTGTTTTCAATAATGTGGTCTCAGTGGAAAAGATTAAGATTTTAAGAAACATATTACAATTAGATTCCTACCTTATATCAATCTTTTTTTGCTTTGGTTGAGACAGTCCATCAAGAGCAGAACCCACTGCGTAAATCTACTACGTTAAAACTTTTTTGCTCTTTCCTCATCTCCCTTTTATCACCGCCGCCCATTGACATTTGAACCACTTGTAGGGTTGTAGATGCATTGTCACCTTTTGACAAAGTGGATCCAGTGCAGAAGTTATAACTTATAACATTCCCACTTGAACTGTAAAGGCACTGAGGCAAACAGTGGCTCATCCGGACAAAAATAAAAAAGAAAAAACCTTTCACTTCACGCCGGTCGTCTGTGAGGTCGTGGTACTTACCCGGACGGATCTGCCATAGTCCCACAGCGAGGACTGATGCGCGGACAGACGACAGTTAGAGTTGTGAGAAAAAATTAATTTTCGCCTTCATAATTTAGGTTGTTCAAAAATATAAATATATTTTTAATGCACAATTTCATTACGTCAACTATCATGGTTAAGTGGGACGGTTATTTCAAAACTAGTGACACACATATGAAAAAGCCGGCCAAGTGCGAGTCGCACGTTTCCGTGCACGTTTCCGTCCAAAGGTTTCCGTACCATTATATATGTATAATATGTATTTATTTACAAAAGAAAAGATGTTTAAGTATGTTTATCAGTTATCCAAATACACTTGATACAAGCGTTTCTTAGTTTGGGACTAGAGAACGTTGCGTAAAAATGTGTCCTAAAATATTTAAATATAGATAACAAGTGTTGAATGGGAGCCACTTTAAATACTTTTTTATTTTATACTGCTTTTTAGTATTTGTTGCTATAGCGGTTACAGAAATACATCATCTGTGAAAATTTCAATTGTCTAATTATCACGGTTCATGAGATACAGCCTGGTGGCCGACGAACAGACAGACAGAAAGACAGTTGTGTCTTACTAATAGAGTCCCGTTTTGTCCTTTGGGTACGGAACCCTAACAAAATGAGCAAGTACGTCACAGAGTGGCATAGTTTTACTTTCCACCACCACCTGTCGTCGAGCAACTCAACGTAACACTGATGTAAATGTTTGCTGACCCATTTCGTTCTAACCCAAAAATTTGTCCCCAAACACAATGTTCCA